AAAGTTTCTCGAACTAAATAAGCCCCCCTGGGGTTTACTGCTTTTTTAGGGCGCTTCTGCCAGTTAACACTATATTATAATAATAATAAGAATAATGGAATAATAATAATAATGGGGCTTCCTTTTCTGTTCAGCTGTGCTGCTAGAACATCATAATAAACTTACTCCAAGTTGTTATTTGTGTTTGTTTTTGGGGGACGTATGCGAGAATTGAACTCATCATTCAATGACGGATTACAAGGGCAATAATCATCAAAATTGGCTACCAAAAGAAGGCCGAGGAAAAATTTCAGGATCATGCATGCCAAAAATATTAAAAAAAACTAAGTTAAGGACTTTTATTCTTTTTCTCATATATATATATATATAGATGGCCAAGAAAGCCGATCAAAAAAAAAAAAAAAAAACATTGAATGAGAAGGATGAAGAGAAAGAAGATGATGTATTGTCAACAAAGTGTGATAGGCTTAGATAGGTTGATTAGTATCAATAGGATCTTTATAGATGTAGACAAAGAGGTAACTTCGGGGGGTTTTACTTGAGAAAGATCTAGGGAAATTTAGAGGATGCATGAGTAAGGCCAGATCTGACACTAAAAGGTTGAAGATTAACAGAAGAAAATATTTGGATAGCTAAAAGTATTTTAAGAACTTTTGAGCTTGCTTTAGGGTTGAAGATTAACTTTGCTAAAAGCCAGCTTATGGGATTTAATGTCTCAGATGATTGGATGTCTAAGATGTCACATATTCTAACCTGCAAACAAGGGGCTTTCCCTTATAGATATCTTGGGGTGCCTATTGGTGGTAATTGTAAAAACATTGTTGTGTGGAAGTAACTGATTGACACTTTCAAGAAGAAACTTTTGAAATAGAATGGTCAATTTCTTTCTCTTGGTGGGAGGATCACGCTCCTCAACTTCATGTTGTTTAGTCTTTTGATGTTTCTCTTGGTTGTCCATTTGTTACCAAAAGGTTTAATTCTTTCCTTTGATAAAATTCGTAGAAATTTTTTGTTGGGGTGGGGAGGGGTAGAGGGAAAAGAAAAGGAAGGTTA